TTTACGCGGAAACGCATCGATGCAGAGCACGTGCGGTGGCGAATGCATCGCGAAAAAGGAATCTGTTTTACGCGATAGAACGAGAGGGCAGAATCGTGATCGCACGTTTTGCCAATCCTTGGCAATACGCTGGCATTGCGCTCTACTTTCCTTTTTGAAACGAATTAATAAAATCAATTTTTTACTCACGGATATTGATATGCCTTTACACACCAAATTCATTAATATTTAGTAATATATCATGTAGCTCATCATATAGAAAGGCAACAGCAAACAGAAAGTACGCAAATTAAAATTTTATTTTTATTATACACTGGAAAATTGGAATTTTTCATGAAATGTTGATATATCTACAAAAAGCATTGTACCATCTAATTATTAACAGCAAAACTTTTAATTAATATTTTAATAATTTTACAACACATACGAATATAAATGTTCATCACACCTTGGGCATTTAAATGAAGCAAATGTGTAGTTAATTTTTTTTCGAGTCTATATCTTTGTGACTACTTTTTATTGGATTTTCGAAATTCGAGAGATTTATCGAAATGAAAAATTCAATATATTCATATTATAGTATAATATATTATATTATAATGTAATATGTCATTAATTATATAAATATTATCAGCTTTGGAATTTTTCTTCTTGAAATTACTTAGTCATCGCAAGTGATATTTCTCATTCACTCTCAATTTTTTCTTTCGTGTTCAAGTATTTTTTAAACTCTTGTTTCTTTTTGTAGCTACGTTTTTAACGAATTCTCCTTTTTCCATATTCATTTATTTTCATGTTTTTTTATATAAAACATAATGTTTCAGATGCAAATTATATACGAGCTTATAATTAATGATTGCTCAACCGTTTTAAACTTATTTACAACACACAATTTAATTTATAAAGAGTATTTTAAAAGTATTATCTTCATCTTATTTGATTCTATTTAAACTTTATTTTATAATTTTTTCGCGCGTCTTCTTTAGATCAAAATTAACAATATGTATAAATATCTCAGGGTTCTGAGATCTTAAGGATCAGCCGAAATTCGAAAATAAGAGATTCATAAATAAAACTTCCTTGCCAAATTGGATTTTCTGAATCAAGAAATCCAAGAATAATGTTACATAAATAAATCGCGAAATATCAATATTAATTACGGTATTCAAATAAGTAACAAAAGGCGCACAAAATGGCGAAAATCGATGCTTCCGGAGTTTTGGTGCGACAATTTGCGAAACACATTTGCCTTCCCTGTATCTGATGACGCACTGAATACGTACAGTAGAGAAATCGATGATAGCGATGTAAAAATGTGTAGTAAACGGCACTCGGCTTGATAGCACGATCAGGAGATCATTATTCACGGACATCCCCATTTCCGTCTACCTGCCACCCATTCCAGGACCTGCCATCTACCCTCCGGCATTTATCGCTCGCGGTCGTTTGTCCTCGTAAAAAGAATCATTAACACGTACAACGGATTTCTTATCCCGCTACCGCGCACCTTACATCACCATTTTACCGCGCCGTCCAGAGTTCCTTGCGAAACTCACGGCACTTTTTCCTTCGGCTCCATTTCTCTCTGTCTCCTTTATGTTCGCATACTGCACTTAACACGTCCCTTCCGAAGTATTCATATGAGCTGCTTATCAGTATTCTCTTCGTGCATATATTTTTTGTAAAGCGTAACGGTACGTGTACTTCAAAGTCTTATCTTTGCTAATTAAATTAATAATCGTGACGCGTGACATGTTTCCCATTGAAAAGTGCTTGCGATAAATAAATATATTTATACTAACTAATTGAAAAATATCTTAATAATACTTTAAGTAATAGTAATTAATTAAAAAATATGTTTGATTGTCTGCTTTTATAATGAACACAAAACACACATTTGTTACGTATAAAATTATGAATCTTAAGGCTTCTACTTCTTTGACATTAATAAATTACCTATGCTGAGATTAGACATAATGAGATCATAATTAGTTGAGAGGATAATTGAAATGTTACTATTTTGAAAAGAGGAAAAGGATATGTAAAAAACAAATGATATAATTTTTATTTATTATTTATTATTTTATTAATTCAATTATTATAAGTATATGTATTTAGAAATATTAATTTTATTTGTAATTGAATGTCCAAAATGAAAGAATTGCATTTAAGAAAAAACAAATGATATAAGTTTAATATATATATATTTAAATTATATCATTTGTTTTTTACATATCCTTTTCCTCTTTTCAAAATAGTAACATTTCAATTATTAAATATTAACTTTCTTGAGAAAATAGGATAAAACGGACCATTAGTCCGTAATAATACATGGCAGATCTGTTTGCGCGAGTCACAAATATATGCAAAATAACGTCATTCTCGTTGTTGTACTTCCAACCGAGTTAAACGGAGGTCGATTGTGCGGGATAAACCGCGCGCATAGTCCGCTTTTCCAGAGATTCCGCCGTGAAAAACATCGCGGCGCTTAGCCTGCATCGCAAACGACAGAGAAATATCGAAAGTCAGTTGCGCTCTCTCTCTCTCTCTTTCTCTCTTTCTCTCTCTCTCTCTTTCTCTCTCTTTCTCTCTTTCTTTGGCGAGAAGCTTGCTTGTCGTTCCTATATCCATCCGATTCGTAATATCCACCATCACGCTGAGCCGCAGTTGCTACGGCACGTCGAACTTACCCGGAAGTTCGCCAACTCCCGGATTGTGTCTCGCTGCTCTCCCGCGAGAGCAGTCCGTACCGTCGTTAAGTTATTTACTGCTTCGCGATTTTATTGAGATCCGCGCCACGGCGTTAAACTTGCTTTACACTTTACGGGATAAGCACGACCGGCGCTAAATCGTTCTCACAGGATCGCTTCGAGTACTCGTTGCTGATCGATAGCACACACACGCTTCTGCATATTTGAAACCATAAAAATATCAAGAAAAAATACATTTATTTGTATTAACAAAAACTACAAATGTCTAATGATCAAAGTAAAAACTGGATTGATGAAAGCGACAAGAGAGAAAAAAAAGAGATATAGAAATAAGATATAAAATGTTTTAAAAAATTAGATGCTAGCAAACACACTTGAGATATATCATCGATCTTTATTATACATATTGAAGAAAAATGTTAAAGTACAAATGTTATTAGAAAAAAGATTCTTTTATGTTGAAGATTTTAAAAATATTTGTAACTTTTACAAAATATATATAAAAATGCTTTTAAAATGTATCAAGTCTACATGTGACAAAGTATTCAAATTTACATGGAGCAAATAAATGAAAACACTTAAAATATATTAAAATATTCATTTGAAAGCAGATGTAAGATTCTCTCTTACGGCTAACGTCAAGAATTTGTTATTTTTATTCATAATTGGTATATAATGACATTTTTATTATACATTTGGTTACAAAAAAGTAGTAAATCGTAAATATACAAGTATAGCGATGAGAATATGGTACATAATTAATTATCAATTTCAATACACAAATTAATTGCACATTAATTAATTAGCAGTAATTAACTGCTGAAAAGTAAATCTTTTTTAAAAGATTTAGCATTCACAAATTATTTGTAAATTTGTGTACATATAATGTATTATTGAATTATTACAATATAATATGTTCACATTATATATATTTATATAGTTTTAGATATTGTAGATATAGCTCGTGTTAATATACAACAATGACAAGCACGCGCGTAAAATTATATTTGTAATAATATTAATTTAAATTTGGTTAATAATTAAAAATTATTTAAAATTACTTATTAATTTTAGCAAAAAGATTTATATTATTTGCTAAATATTATTATAAACACATAAATGATATTAATATGAATAAAATATATTAATATATGAATATATACGCATACATATATATACACATATATCAAAATGTGTTTATATATTTGTATACTTATATTTATTTATATATTCATATATTTTTCTATTTATGTATTCATATATTTATATATTATTATATTCATATATCTATGTATTCATATATTTATGTATAATATTTATTTTATAAAACTTTTAAACTTATGTTATATAGAGTGTCATAAACTAAGGCTGTTACTAACAATAGCTAACTTAAAATAGCTAACTGTTTTTAGCTATTTTAAGATGATCTTTTTAAAACACGATTTGAAATGGACAATTTTTACAATGAGATATATTCCCTTTTGTTATTGCGGTATATATATATATATATATATACGTTTGTCAAAAAATTTTATCTTACGAACAAGTTACGCACAAGATATGCATTGTCTAAAGTTGACGACTTAAAGTTGCAGATCGAACTTAATGAAGTAGTAATTAGTAATAATAAATTACACTTCCAGAATATGTTAGAAATTTTAATTATACACTCATTTAATTATTTTTGATTTGTATCAGTTTGCAATAATACTAACGCATAACTCTCAAATTAAACATGTTGTTCTATTGGAATCTGCAAAATTAGATTAATAATAACATTAACATAAACATAATTAATAATAACATTAACATAAACATAATTAATAAAAATAAAAGAAAGATATGCATATTTATTATTACGTTAATTAGAGCACATCATAGAGTTAGATGGATATAAATATTTAAGTACGTAAGATGAAAATAATTTTATAGTCTAGTACAAAGCTCTTATTACACATATTACATAAAATCCATACATAAAGTGTATATGTATATGTAAATTTATATATTTTGTAGAATAGTTATTTTTAGATATGCAAAGTTATACGTATATAACAGAATGCACACGTCTACATACATTGATATTCATCCCTTTGCTTGTAGCTTGTATGTGTCTTAGTCTTAGATATCAAGTAATTTTATCAAATATATATACTATTTTGTTGATAATAAAATTAAAGTAACAAACATGAAAGTAATAAGCATAGTAACAAATTTTTAATATTGTTTTGTATTTCATATTTCAAATATTTGCCGTCACAATAGTTTCAACTAATTATTCAATTGAGTACATAAAACAACTTCTATAAATTAATTAATTAAATATAAAATTATATACATAGTGATTGCAGAAATTTATATACCTGAAATCAATCCACACGCGTACATAAAATATTATTCCTAACATCAAGAATGAAAACCAAACCCATACCATTACATAATTATCATATTGATTGTTAGCTTTTTCCACCGTTACATATATATTATTTTCCGATGTACTATCATCAATGTTCTTTTTTGTATCAAGTTCTATATGTTTGTCAAACCTAATTAATGAATTCTCAGGTTTTGTTACAATATCTGAAAAGATAACATTAATTAATCTAATTGATTAACTTTTTTAGCTATAAAAGTTCATTATAATATGAAAAATATTCTAAAAAGAAAATCTATTGTATTAATAAATTAATTTTGTCATAGAAATTAATTATAAATAAATCAACTTATTAGAAATAAAAGTACATTATTAGCAAATTACTATTCTTATAA